TATCCTGGCTTCCTCATATAATATACATCTAGTCAAAAATCACCAAAATCATAGGTTTGATGTATCGAGTTTGCTCTTACGTCAATACACAAAGTCTTAAATTAATATACTTTGGGCTAATATATAGCTTCATCAGCTATGCAAACATTTCTTACAAGTACTCAAATATCAAAGCTTAAAAAACTGTATAGTTTACAAAAACATGCTTGCAGAATCTTTTACTATAAGGATATATCCTTATAGTAAATGTGTTCATATATAGTAACGTGTTCACGCCTATAGGCGTGAACACGTTACTATATATGAACACATTTACTATAAACCCTTAATGAAAGATATGAAAATGATGAATGTGTTAAAAATAAATGTCTATCAGCATTTAATTTTCATGTATCGTTACAACTCTTCTATACTCTCCTACAAGCTTTAATAACAAATTTGAATGAAATAAAAATGAAATCTATTATCTTAGAGTAAATATGTTAAGTACATATAAACTGCCTCGGAGAATAAATAAATATTCAGAATATAGCATTTCATATTGCCGTCCTAAAGTATGGAATACCTTTCAAAAAGGATTTCAAAGGTACGGTAAATTTGTTAATTCATTCAAGTTTATAACAAAAAAAGAAACTTTTAAAATTTGAGAAAACGTTATTGGTTAATGTTACCACTCTACTTTTTTTTTTGTTGTTTAACAATCTTATTAGCGAGTTGCGCATTTTATTACAATGTTTATTATGATATTTAATTGAAATTTTATTACGTAAATATTTTACGAAATTTTATTACGTATTACAATATTTTATTGAAATTTTGTTAAAGGGGCTCTATGAAAAGATTGAGATGATGTACTGTCATCCTTATCTTCTTTGAGCCCCTATCTGTTTTACATACTTTTTTTATGAAGCACGAAGTTGTAAAATTTTTATTTTATATTAAAACAGAATAAGAAAAAGAGAGAAAAAAAATAAAAAAATACGACGCTTGTTATCAAATTGGTATTTTTTAAATTTGTTTGCTAGTTATCCAAAAGTCCTTTAAACTCCTTTTTTATCCATTGGCCCATCACAATAGCAGCAAGAGTATTTTCCACAGTGACTCTTTATTATAGAAAATAATTTGTCGGTATTGCTTGTTTAAAATTTACATTGCATATCAATTCAAGATAAGAAAATAAGGTATTTATTGATAATTCTAGGATGATGTTGATCAGTTTGAGGTCAGTAAGGTAAAGTTTAATTCTAGGATGATGTTGATCAGTTTGAGGTCAGTAAGGTAAAGTTTAATTCTAGGATGATGTTGATCAGTTTGAGGTCAGTAAGGTAAAGTAAAGTTTAATTCTAGGATGATGTTGATCAGTTTGAGGTCAGTAAGGTAAAGTAAAGTTTAATTCTAGGATGATGTTGATCAGTTTGAGGTCAGAAGGTAAAGTAAAGTTTAATTCTAGGATGATGTTGATCAGTTTGAGGTCAGTAAGGTAAAGTAAAGTTTAATTCTAGGATGATGTTGATCAGTTTGAGGTCAGTAAGGTAAAGTTTAATTCTAGGATGATGTTGATCAGTTTGAGGTCAGTAAGGTAAAGTTTAATTCTAGGATGATGTTGATCAGTTTGAGGTCAGAAGGTAAAGTCAAGTTTAATTCTAGGATGATGTTGATCAGTTTGAGGTCAGTAAGGTAAAGTAAAGTTTAATTCTAGGATGATGTTGATCAGTTTGAGGTCAGTAAGGTAAAGTAAAGTTTAGTTCTAGGATGATGTTGATCAGTTTGAGGTCAGAAGGTAAAGTAAAGTTTAATTCTAGGATGATGTTGATCAGTTTGAGGTCAGTAAGGTAAAGTAAAGTTTAATTCTAGGATGATGTTGATCAGTTTGAGGTCAGTAAGGTAAAGTTTAATTGAAGGAGTTGGAAAAGTGTTTTCAGATTGTGATGATTCTCTTCTACGTTTTAATCTATGACTAAAATAATCACTTTGTTGACCCCGGTGTATTTTAGGTTCCTTGGTTGAAAGTCTAACGCTGATGAGTCAAACACGTTAATGATAATATTTTTAATTCTATAATTACAACAGAATTAAAAATATTAAACTTTCTGAAGATAATACAAACTTAAGTTACGAGCATAGAAAGGTCATTACAATAAGCATTGTCTTTTTCAAGAATGTTTTTAGGTTCTTGAGCTGACATTTCATCGCATTATAAAACCAATTCAAGTAGCACGAGTTGTTCGTAACTTTAGCATAAGTGTTTTCCGGTATTCCAGATCGTCCAACATCTCTTCTTATCTCCTTCATTATTCTTAACACTGCACAATTTATCTTTTAGTTTATCTTTAAGTTTATGATTATTTTGCTTCTTACATGCCGGTGATCGGTGATCGGTCTCTGTATAACTTAACAAGAAGAGCTTTCCCTCATCTTGCAATTTTTTTTTTTTTACTATCGTTAACAACATATAATTATTTTAGCATACAAAAAACAACTCTATTAAAGATATTATGATTCATTGAAGTATTCATTGAATTTAGACGTGAAAACTTTAACAGTATTTTTTGTTGTTGTTACAGAGAGCATAGTTTTTTTGTTGGTTTTTTTGTTATAAAAAAATAATCTTTTATAATGCTTTTACAACATAAAAAATGAAACATTAAAGTTTCGACCGGAGGTTCAGGCTGAAATCTGGGTCCTGGAAAACCTGGGATTTTAGATTAACCAATGATTTCTTTTTCTCCAAAGTTAGACATTTTCTGTATTTGTTAACACAAAAGAAACATCAATTTCCTATTTTCTTAATAATCTTTCTTTTTGCAGATTTTGTACCAAAACGTTTTTATTTAGTATTTTATGTATTAAAATATTTAAATTTTATAAATCAATACTCTAACAAAGTGCTTAATTTAAGCAAATTAACAGACGATTGACGTAATTTATTGAGACCAATTTTTCTAAATTGTATTATGTTTATGCCATTACTATTAGATCATTTATAACTAGTCTCTGAACAAAAATAACTTTAATTTAAGGCACAAACTAAGTGATTTATAAACGAAATTAGAAATACCTTTGAGAAACGCCCATGTTCATCTTGTCGAGGAAAAACAAATAAAAATACTTAACTTAAATTTCATTAAAAATTTAAATTTAGTTTCTGAGTTTATCAAAATATATTTTGACATTAAAAAGATACGGCCACATAAGATTATGACCCCCTCATTTTTTGAAGGCTTTTTTTTTAGAAAATTTGGAATTTACATTAAGAAAAATGGTAAAAAATTGAAAAAAGACGCGATTTAAAATTCTTTTTCAACAATATCTATTTCATGTTTTTTTTTTGTTTTTTTTTTTAAAGTTGATTTAGGTGCCCCAAGAAGTCCTTACGATCTTATCACAGAGCACCGCGGAAGAGTATTTAATAGGAAGTTCACGCCTCCTTCCCAACCGATGTCAAAAGACTTGCCCAGAGGTCGGGTTTGAACCACGGATTTTAGGTTTCTGAGGCAAGTGCGCTACTACTGCTCCATGGCTGCTTTCATGTCAACCTGTTAGGAAGAGTGGTAAAAAAAATCTGAAGTAAAAATAACTTCAACTTAAAACTTTTAAAAAAGAGCATATATAAAGTTGATACACAATATTTTCATTTCAAAACATTTTAAGGTGGTACAACACGAAGAGAAATGACGAAAAAATTTTTTTTTTTTTTTTTTTTTTTAATTTTATGAAAGATTGACCCTTTGTTGAGTTTTTAAAAATTTTTCGACATTCTCGTTTAAATATATAGCTAAATTTTGACCTAGTTGAGCACCACTATCATATAAAACCCCATAGCAACAAGTTTTTAACTTTATTTGAAGTGGTTTTTAATAGCAATTTTGAGATAAAAGTCATCAAGATAGAATTGTTCTTGTTTTACCCGGTCTGAACTGCGTTGATAAAAGTCACAAATCTCTTTTTAAACAGTTTTTTTACAAATTTTAAAACAAGTTTTAACAAATTTTAAAAACAAGTTTTCACAAATCTCTTTTTAAGGTGGTACACCCCCATTAATTTTAGAAATTTTTTTAAAAAAATCTATTAAAAATTAATTTTATAATGTTCTACGCATCTTCAATGTCTGATTCTGGTTCGTAACCTTATTGCATATTTCAGGAACATAATGTGAAAATTTCAGAACTAAATGATTAATAGAAATGGAGATATCTTGTTTTAAATTATATCCACTTTTGCGTAATTTTTATGGAATATGTGAGGCCAAAGTTGACAAATTAAGATCACATATTTAGAAAAATATTAGCATATTTGTTTCAACTTGTGTGCTGGTGTTTTTAATTTTATTTCGATTATTTTAAAGAAATTTTTTTGAATGGGGGTGTACCACCTCAAACAGTTTTTTTTTAAACACTTCAAAATGATCTATTCTTTTTTACTTCTTGTTTTTTTGCATTAATGTTTTCTATAGGGTTTTTTAAAATTCAAAACATGATAACTTAAGTAAAGTTTATGTTCATGAGCTAAATGTTTTAGAGCTGAAATTTTCAGGAAATGCTTATTTAATATTGATGCACCGGTTGTCCCATGGGTTTTTCTTGGATTTGGTTAAATAAAAAGTTATTGCTATAAATCTATATAGGAAGTCAAAAATTTTCAATTTTTTCAGTAAACTCATGATAAAAAAAGTAATTTTCAAAAAAATTAAAAACGCATGGGTTAAACGGTGTATAATAAGTTGTTTTATAACTGTATCGATTTTCAATCCATAATCTTCTCACTAGATCAAGATATTATGTTTTCAAATACAACAATTGTTCTTTTTTCCGCCATTATGGATTTTTAATAAGTTTTAAAATTTACTTTAATGATTTTGAATCACCAAAGCATAATTCTTTATTGACTTTATGCAAGAGTTGACATCGTTTTCATGTATGTCAAATAGGATTGAAACACATTTGAAATTGTCTAACAAAAAAGCATAAAATATAAAGTATACTTATAAATTCGATATATACATATTTGAATACTATAAATACATGTCTATATTAAAATGTATATATACAAATATATTAAAAAGATTTTATAAATCTAACTAATGATGGGAGACTAATCCTTCATTTTTAAGTTTAGCATTTATAAAAGAAATCAAGGAACTAGAAAGTTCAGATTGACGCTTTAATTTCATCTGCAATTTTAATTAGGGTTTTAATACCTAATATATATCCACGATCTGTCCCAACATGATAATTAGTTGGTTCGTCTTTAACTCGAGTCTGAGCAAAGTCAATCATTTTAACATCAATACGAGGTACTATTTGGTAACCTTCGTCTTCGTGTCCGTCATATAATATAAGCAAGGAGCTGCAATAAAATCTACAACATTCTATTTTCTCAATTTGTTCAAGCAAAATTAAAAGCTTTGTAATTAGAGAAGAAAGCAATTCAGTCCGGTACCTAATACCGTTGAAAAAAAACCTTTTAATTGCATAAAAAAAATCTTCATTGCTAAAACGACGACCTTGGTACTTATCTGTAAACGAATAAACACCTGTATCACATTGATACACCTAAGTATAAAATTTTTTTTTAAAAACTAAACAATTTGTGATCAGCTAAATGTATATATAATGATCACCCCAAAAAGTTAATCATTTACCATCATTCCGCATAGTCTGACGCCTAAAGCTGCCGAAGTAGACTCTAATGCACGTTTTTTTTTACGCTCGTATTTTGCTTGAGTGCTGCCGTCTCCAAAGCAACGAGTGCCCATTTTTAAATCAAGCACACATGGTCTTTTTAATGAAAATGTTACGTTTTCAAGCAGTATAAATTCTATTAACATTTAGTTAAAGAAAGTTAACTTATTTTACTTTTTATAATTCGTCGAAAAGTTAAAAACTTTATTATGTTATTAAACATTATTTGTTAGGTTAAAACAAAAAAACATAATAAAACTTCACGTCATAAATAATATCGCAAACGACTGCAAAATTTCTATTAAATAAGTAAAAACTTCATTTAAAATAGCACTTATTTATATTATACTCGTGAACTTATTTATAGCACCTCACAAAAAAATTATGTCAAAATAAATCTTTTAAAAGATGTTACACCTATACATCAAATTCACCGGCACTAAAAAAAAATTATGAAAAAGATACTTTCAATTTTTTTTAATTTAGCGCTTTCCCATTGACGTGTAATACCATTTTCTGTAACGGATGTTGTCCAATCTATAAGAAATAAAAACTTATCTATAAAATATATTTTATAAAGCAAATATCACTTTCAATCATAAAAATGCACTAATGTTTCAATGTACAAGACAAATAAGAAATATTATGGATGTATCCTTTATTCATATTTAGTATTAACCAGCAAATACTGTAATCAATTTGAATCTTGTTTTTGGTATTGGTAATTAAAACTTTCCAGTCAAACTATAGTAGTCCAGATTATGGTAACTCCGAATGGGAGAATGGGAACAAACTCCGAATGGGAGTCCACAAGAATTGGTTCTGAAAACCAAAAGCTTTTAAGAATTACTAAGCAATTATAAAAATTAAAATAAATTATAAAAAATGGCAGCAACATTCATAAATCATGAAATGTCTTGATACAAAGAATTATATAAAAAAAAGCAAAACAAAACAAAAAAACTTTCATACCATCACAATCAGACTTGACAAATTTAAACCTGAAAAAAAAAAACATTTTCAAGTTAAACTTAAACTGTAACTTATATTTAATTACATAAGTCGTTACCTACTTTTTGGCAAAACCGTTCGATATTGAAGCCCGCTATAAGACACCAAAATTTGGCACAACTCAATATTAATACCTTGAAATACCTTTTTGTTCTTCTGATGTGTTTCCTGCTTCATGTTATTACACTGCTAATTTTGTTATTTCCTTTGCTCCTGAAATATTAAACCTTAATTTGATTTGTGTATTGTATGCTTACTCACCCTATCTGCATTTTCCGATCTTAAGGAAAGTCATATACGTACTTGTTATTGTGTATCGTTTTCTTAGCCATACAGTAATTCTTTGATTGGATACACGGACAGCCATCAGGAAAAGCATATGCAAGTATATCTCCATCAAACATTTCAAAATGAACATTTACCACTCCTAAAACATTGTCCAGATGTTTTATCTTTAACAGACTTGAAAAAAAACAACAAAAAAAACAAACAACAACAACAAAGTGTAGCATACCTCTACACCTCGGTATGAAGGCTTTTAATTCATTAGGGAAATGTGCATAGACAAGCTGTTCCTGATCAATTAGAGGCTTACATATTGTTTCATCATCATATACTAAAATGCAATTATGGCCTCCTACTTGGTAAGGATAAGGCTTTAATTCAATCAACTCACACTGATGAGTGTATACGGGTTCATCCCTACACATCTCTGCATCATCCATAAACGTTTTAACCATTACTGTAATTAATTAACAAAGCATATAAAGAATTTACAAAAATAAAAAAACAGTAAAAATTTTAATTTTTTTAACACTTTATAGAATTTACGTTCATACTAACAATAAAATTCTTACTACACTTTGCAGGGGCAATTGCAGAACTTTTTGATGTTTGAGAACTTCTATCATTAAACAAATTTTAAAAAGTTTTATACATATGCTAAATGCGATGTTTTGTAAAAAATTAAATGATTGGAGCCGGGCAACAAAAATGGCCTAATATTTTTGCAACACCTGCCCCAAACGTGAGAGCAAGATGTTGATAAGATATTTTTTTTAGCTATTTAACTAAAATATATTCATCAAATTTTAAAATTAACATCATCACTTTAGAGTTTAAAAATCATGATCATATAAAGTTTGATTTTCTTAGCCATACATTAATTTTCAATTTGAGGGGGGTAAAAATTTTTAAAAAGCTTAAACTTTTAAACGCTAAAAGATTATTTTATTAAACATCAAAAAATGCTGCATCCGCCCCAGCTTAGTATATTACAGAATGAATTCTATAATATACAAAGATTTTGAAAAAACCTTTAGACGGAACACACAGAAAAAAAGTTAAATAGTTAATTAAAACCCAAATGCAATAAAGTTAAGAAAACCATTAACACCATATACTCTTTTAGTTTAATCAAATTACAACTTTTACATATACCAGAATATATAATAAAAATTACATAATGTAGAATATATAGCAAATACGTTTTATCAAGAATAAATATCTGTTTTTATCATAAACATAATAATGAGGAAAAAAAAAAGAAAAAAAAAAATGCTACTCAGGGCTAAAACAGTTCAACTAATTTAATTTAAAAATGATTATTAAAATTTTTAAAATTTGTTAGAGCTGGTTGAAAAAATTTTTTTGACATAGATTAAATGAATCGGTCTGTAACAAACACAATAAATATAATAAATTACATGATGGCAAAGAAACCTCTCAACAGTGTATCTACTAAATGCAATTTGAAAACTTCTTGAAATTAGTTAGAAAAAAGTTGCAAAAACAAAAACCTAAAATCTCTATATTTTCTAGAAAAATCTATCATTAAATAAAATAAATTTTTAAATCTTTATTTTTAAAAAAGTTTTTTTTTCTGTCAAGCAATCTTGCAAAAAATATTTTGGCAAAGACAAAACGTCAGGTATGATTTATAGGCAATGTTAAATATCTTATGTTTACTGCTTTAAATAAAACATGTGTTCAGACAGTAGGTTATGAAATGGAAAAGAATGTGATAACCACAAAAAGTTATTTTGCCCACAACCTCGAAAACTACACTTTGATGTTTCATTGATCTGCATGTAAATGACCTGAAGATCATGTCATGTTTTTATTTATGACAACAAAGCTGACTATCTACTTTGCTTGGAAACTGGCACGACAGCATTGGTGTCTTCTTTGAGTCGCATCAAATCTCTAGTGATGTAAGAGTTTTGTATCGGGTGCATTAACTTTGATGAAACATCTTTTACATTAAACCAAGCTCGTTTTCGCTTTTCTAAATAAAATCACTTTATTAAATTGAACTTAATAATGTAAAATAATTTCAACATTGTTTGAAAAGATAATTTTTCTAAAACTTAAAAATCCTTAATGTAAGCAATGATTTTACCTTTCCTTAAGTAAGCAATGATTTTACCTTTTTTAAAGAAAGCAATGATTTTACCTTTCATGTGGGTGAAACTCTGCAATATCATGGTATAAATGTAAGTTCTTGTCTTAACAACTTTATCGTGCTGAAATATAAACAAATGAATACTTTTTAAATCTAAACTTTTTTTTAAAAAAAATAAATAAACATTATTCTTCTAAAATTTACCATTAAAATTAGTTCTCTAAAAAATTATTTATTGAAAACTAAATATTTTCTTGCTTACTGTTCAAAAAAACTATTGGAGTACACAGATTACACTAGAGTTTTCTTATTATTCCAGCTTATTCTAGTTTTCCTATTATTCCAGGAACTATTATTCCAGGAAATAAGCAACTAGCCCTATGGTTAGGATACCTAACTTTTTTGATTTTTTTTTTTTTTGATTCAGATCAGTCACAAAATATGAATGAACCTGAAAATGATTTAGTAAAAATGTTTTGAAATAAGGACTTACTCTCGTGAGTAACATCAATACATCAATTTTAACGCAAAATAACTACTAAAACTTCAGTCACTAACCTTACAGAAATAAGCTAAAAAAACTCCAGACACAAAACCTTATAAAAATGAGTGCAAAGATTTTTTTAAACACTTAAAATAAAAAGTTTTTAGTGCAAATGAGTTTTAAATAGATGACTGGTTGGATACAAGAAATTTTTATGCTACTTGGAAACATTTAATTTTATCTAATCTTTATAATTTTATAACAAACCTTTTAAATCTAAACAAAGCATTAAATAATAAAAAAATTACTATACCTGGTTGTGTATAAGCTATTTATTTGGCAATTAAGATTTAAAGTTTTTAATAAGCTATGAAGATATATTGGCATAGATTCAATTAAAAAGTATAAAATTTATATTGCAATTTTAAATAATAATAAACTATTAAATAATTAAATTTTTTTTTGACCATCTATAAATTTATTTATAATAAAACGATAACTATAATAAATTATAATAAAATCATAATTATAATAAATAAAAATTTATTATCATATTATTACAATAAAAATAAACTTTTTATAATGTATTATAAATATATTGTGATAATTAATTTTTATTTAGAGTTTTAAAAAAATGTTCAAATTTTATTAAGGTGAATTAAGACTACTTTTTAAAACATTTCAAGAACAAATATATTATAATTAAATTCAATTATAGTTATTTTCTACAAAACATAAAATCTCTATAAAACCTGATATATAATATTCATAGTTTTACCTGTATTAATGAAGAAAAATAATTATAATACTCTTGCATAATACACGGGAGGGGAAGTTTATTAATTTTCAGAACTTTTTCCCACCCTAAGCTTATTAAGATCCCGCTCTCCCTTCATTAATTTTTACTGCTTATCTCAAAACTAAAAAAAAATCAGTGTAAACTGTCTCGAAAAATTAAAAAATATCTCATCAGTCACTGATAAGAATTGAAACTGTCAATGTAATCAGGCTCAAAAACTCAATTTATCAAAAGGTAGTTTTTTGTTTATTCCTCACCATAGTATATAACTTAGGTAAGCATATTAAATCTTAATGAAATTATGATTAAACAACTGCTAAAAAATGCCCATTTGAACGCAAGCCACATTTGATTTAAATTGTTTAATGCGTGTTCTGTAAGAAATTTCCCCCACCCTTTTATTAAGACCCCCTTTATTAGATCTGGACTAAAATCCCCCTCTTCCTTTTATTCTCCTCCCTTGTATTTGACATGCGAAAGTACTTTTCAACAAAAATAGCAAAATCTCTTTTTAAAAACTGTTAGCTACATATACTGCTAAAAAATTATACTACCATCCAGTAGTTTAGTTTATCTAAAAAGTGCACAAGAAAAAAACCATCCAAATATTCAACACAAGCTTTTGTCCATTAATTTTTAACATCCCTATGAAAACTATACAACTTTTAAAACATTTATAAAACATTTAAAAACTTTTGTTTTAAAATGTTAAGTTAACATGTGTACATCCATCAGGTGCTGTACCATTTGTTAAAACCTACTAGAAAAAATATAAGTTGTTGCACACTGTCAAAAAAGTCTACTTAATAGCCACAAACCCACTAGGTACCACAGGTACTTATCCACCAGGTGTCTCATCTGATCAACTTCTGGTATATCACTAACCAATACAGAATAGCCTGTTTACTAACTGATTTTCCTTGAAACAATCCATAAAAACTTTTCTTGATACAATTAAAAAAAAAAGTATGAGGAAACAACAGTTCCAAGCATAGCTGACTCAACCAAGCTTAGTCAACAAAATTTGTATTGCTTTATATTGCAACAAATAATTTTGCAGATAATGAATTGAAAATAAATAAATGTAAACAATTTTATATTCTTTTTATAAACACAATTTAAATGAGGCCTTTTCTACTTTCAGAGTAAAATCAGTTACTTGTAAAAAAACAAATTCTTGAAAAAAAATTAAAACATTCATGTTTCTCAAGATATTTATTTTTACCAACAAAGCATTTGTACCTTAAAAGATTCAATATTATCTGACTTTAAAAAAAAAGTATTTGTACGTTAAAACCTAGACTAAGATAAATTTCATAAAAGAAAGATTCCACAACTCTTAATTTGTATTATGATTATTTTCTTAAAACCATTACTATAATTCCATTTTCATAAAACCATTTTTCTTAAAATACCTAAAAATTCTAAATTAAAAAAAAAAAAAAATAAAATAAACAATAAATAAAAAAGAAACTGTATTTTTTTTACTAAATTTACCCCTCCCCCCTCTCCCAAGGCTTCAGAAAGAGTGACATAAGCAAAATATAATATCAGAGTTGTAACAGTGCCATTTTGTTTATGGTTCTGTCCCTGTTAGAACTTTTGGTGTGCATTGTTTGGACCACATAACAAGTCTTTTGTTATGACTATGGTTCGAATAGAAAAAATGAAGTAATGCATAGTTAACTGATTAATGTGCCAATGACTATCTATATTTGTTTCACGATCTCTTATATTATTTAAACCATGACTATAAAGCCAATTTAAACTATGATTATAAAACCAAAACAGAACATTACCATTTATGATTTATGATTTATGATTTATAAATTCTCATGATCTTTGAGAAAATTTAAATTTAGTCTCCAGACCTCAGCATTATTATTCTAAAAAACTTCATGCACTTTATCTGGGCATATATGTAAGTGTTAACTCATCTGCATGAAATTAGGATTCAACCTTTTAAAATATTTATTACTTTTCATCAATTATACATCATTCTACTCAATGGTATCATCATTATTCTACCATCATAGTTTGAAGGATTTTATATTTTATCTCAGAAATTATGTTCTAGAAACCTTTCCACATTTAAAGATTTTACATTAGCATTGAAGCTAACCTTCTATTTATGGTTCTGATCATCTTAACATCTCTTCTAAATAAACGACTTGCATCTTAATCACTCAGACAAAAAAAATTTTCTAAAACTATTTTACATTTCAACTCTTCCACAACAGCATTGCTGTCACAGACCTGGATAATTTCTTATTTTAAAGACTCAGGACATTTCTCTGAATCTTCCAACCATCAACCAATCAATTTTTTGTTGTTGATATTTTAAATAACACCTTGAATTAACAAATTCTTTATATCTCATATTGAGTCAATTCAGATAATCAATACATATTTCAATCTTCTTTTTCTTATAAACAAAGTCCGAAAATGCATTGTAAATTGGCTCCAGAAACCAAGCTTGAGCTGCCGCATCATCTTAAGATTGCATGCATCATCACAAGGTTTTTCTGCAATGTTTGCTGCTTAAGTAAACTATCATTTCTGGTTCCACAAAAACAAAATTTATCATAATATACCTACCAAAACATAGATACCAAAACAGATTTTATGCAACTAGATAATAGTAGCTGTAACTTTAAAAGAACATTAAAATCAGTATTAAAAAAAACTGAATTTTCTAAAAGTTCAAATAACACACACACACATGTACACACATACTAACACACATTTCTATACTTAGTTTAAACTCTATAAATTTCTTAATAAAACATTAAACAGACACTCAAAATTACCAAAACTCATGCATAAAAAGAACACAACACTAAATTGTGCTGAAAATGCAAGAAATAAAAGAAAAATTAAAAAGATCTATTTTCTTAACAAAAAAAGTATATCTTAAATGAGCTCTAGGTGCTCTTTTATTAAACTATATTTTTTCCTCTCCCAATCAGCAAATAAAAAGTATTAACTGCCAATATTTAATTTGGGAAAAATACAATGAATTAGTAATTCTTAGTAAAAATAAATGTTTAAATTAAAATGGTGATAAAGAAATTAAGATATTTGTTTAAAACATAAAATAAAGTAAGAAAACTATCAATTTGTTTACAATTTTTTTAATCGCTTTATGTTTATTTTAAAATATTCTATAAATATGTTACACTTTTGTTACAAGGGCTCTAGTATTACCAAAAATACTAGTAATAGTGTAATAGATTTATATTACACTTGAAATCTTAAAATATAAAATGACTATAGTTATATTGCTTGTTTTTTGCTAAATGATATTCATATTAAATATGAAATTAACTAATTTTTAATCTACAAATATGTATAAAATTTAATATTATATATTGTTATTCTTGTGTATTTGACCTGCACTATCCTAATATATTTTGCATTTTGGTCAAATTAAATCCAAACAGTTTTTTTTTTTCAAAATAGAAATAATAAAAAACAAAAAAAGAAAGATATAAAAAAAGGTACTATTTAAAGTAAGAAAAGTTCTTTGTAAAGTTCTATCTAAAGAACATCTGTTTAAACCCTCAGTAAATGCATGTAATGAAGTCCTATAGCTCCCCATTTCAGTATGATGTCATAATCAACATTTTATGCAAAGCTAAGTATGCTAAAATACTTAAGTATGTATGTAAATATGCATGTATACTTATAGAACAGTCTCTATTCTTTAGAGCATTAGGACAAAAACAGACTCAATATCCGGACACTACATTATGGTAGTACACTTTCATCATAGCTTTTCTCAGTTCTGGTACTGAAGTTGGGTTCTGTTTAGGAAATTCTGTATTATCTAACAGTT